CAGCGGGGATCGGGGCAGCAGGTTCAAGACGCGGCGGGGGACGTCTAACCCTCGGCTCTGAGGCTTTGTTTACAGGTTAGCACCGGCTTGTGCAAAGAAGTGCGCTCAATGTGCTGTGGCCTGTGTGAGCAAGCCTCCCCTTCGGACTTGGGACCGAAGTAGGCTCTTTTGATGCCGAATGTATGTATGTGTGTAAGTTTCAGTTGCCATACTAATACGGTGTCCGCCCGTTGTTCGGGCTGTTGTAGTGGCCTTGTTGCGGCTGTGGCTGCAAGTCTCTTGAGCAGACCTGTGACCCAACGTACAAGAGACCACAGAAACACGCTAGTGTAATGCAGGCCAGTAGTCTGGAGTTCCGCCTGAGTCACATACCAGCGAAAAAGCAGTCCTCTAACAGAGGACCATCCTGCAGCGATTCTCCTTTTGCATCTGAGCTTTCGAGCGCGTCTGACACCCAATGAGGTCCTTGGTTGCTTCAGTCTGTGGCGAGGAAAGGTATCCTGCAGTGTAGAATTCGGGGCCCGGCTGGGCTGAGGCAGCAAGTCTGCCGTGACCTGGGTGCATTGCCAGGTCCAGGAGGGGTAGCACCCTCTCAGTTGCAGGTGGGCCGGACTGGGCAAGTGCAGTGCAGACCGTTTTCTCCATAGCCAATCAACGGAGCAGGCATTGTGCAGCGGGATGAAGGCTGCTTGCCTAGGCTCTACATCCTGATAGCCCACGCTGTTTGCAGCGGCCACAAGGGAGAGCAACGAACTGTATCCGTGGTGCACGGACCTAGGGTACATACTGGCAGACGCGTGTCGCATAACGTGGGACAGCGGGGTTTGCGCCAGGACCTTATGTTGTGCCCTGGACAGGACCACTGTGGGCACCGGAACGGGTCCCTCCGGCTCACTGATCGGGCCAGGGGCATCATCATACCGGACTGGTCGTGGAGGCGGCGGACCACGCGGCTCATCGTTTTCACAGAGAGGTGGAACTGGGGGCGGTGGAGCCGCCATTTCTCGATCGATCTGGTCCGAGTCGGAGGCGCGGACCTCGTCAGGATCACTTGCAAACCAGGACGGCGTAGTGGGTATGTCCGAGGGAAGCTTTGAGCGGTCCGGTTTGGGTCCTTGGAGCTCCTTCGATGGGCTTGTTGGTTGAGCTTGCAGGGCGCTTCGCCGGAGTCGTAGAGGTAACTCTGGAGGCAGCACGAGAGGCAGGCTCTGAAGTCCTGGAAGCAGCCTGTGTACGAGATTTCTGAGCACGGTGTCCAGAGGGACGACCGGCTGGCCGCTTGCGAACAGGTGCCATGGCCCAGAGAAAGAGGCACCAGCGTGTGGCTGAGGGCTAAAACGGCTGGGTGGCAGAAGCATGGCCTGCTGTGGGCTCCACTGATGTGCGTGGCAGGATGCTGGTAAGAGAAGGCAGCGCTGCAGACTGAGGGCCACGCAAAAAGACCACTGTCCATGAACAGCACCCAAGGACCTGGGCAGTGAGAACAACACTATTGCAAGGCGCATGAAGGCTCGCACAGGAGATGCGGAAGAAGCACGCATATATGATGCAGGGCTGCCACCCCCCTCCCCCTCCCCCCCCCCCATGGTATCCCCCCCTTCCCTCCCCTGTGGTGTGAGGTCCCCCGCCCCGCTGTGTGGTGCTTTTCCCCCCCCGCCGCCCCTGCGGTATCCCCCCCCTCCCCCGCCCCCCTGTGGTGTGGGCCCTGTGGTGCGATATCCGGTGGTGCTCTGCATGATCATCATCATGAACATGAACATGATGGTCCCCCTGCCCTCCCGTGGTGTGGTGTGGTGTGGTTCGGGGTTTGGGATGTCTGCGTGGGGTGCCTCCCCCCTCCCCCCCCCCTGTGGTGTGGTGTGGTGTGGTTCGGGGTTTCGGTCTGCTTGGGGTGCTCTGCTTGGGCTGTTTGGTATAATAATCATCATCACCATCATCACCATCATCACCATCACCATCACCATTCACCATCATCACCATCATCAAGATCATGAACATGATCATCATGATCATCATCATGTCGTTCCTTTCTGTTTATTTATCTTGTGTCACACTGGCAATCTTCCTGACAATTGGGCACAGAGATCGGGCCTGTCAGGGACGGGTCCTGTTCACAGTTGCCGGGTTCGGACGGAAAGGTGTCCACTGTCACAAGGATCGGGCGTGTTTGGAATGCGATCCGTGACGGTTACCGGTTGTGGTGTCTTCATGTGGGAGACGTGCACGGTGAGGGGCGCATCCTCGTGACGTTGACGGTTTTGGAGCCTTTACGTGGGATCACAGAAAAAGGCTCCGGGGGGGGGGGGGGGGTACCATGGGGGGGGGGGGGGGGGGGGTGGGGGCCCGGGACCCGAGAGCATAAATGCCGGGCTGGACGGCCCTTGTGCTGCTTGCCCCGCTGAAGGCGATTCGCCTTGCCCATGAGAGATCCAGGCCGAGTCAGCCCCAACTGAGCCGGGGGCTTCTGCTGACATGAACCAACATAGCAGCGAGGTGATTGCTCAGCAATGTGCAAGTGCTTGTGCCCGTGCAATGCGGTGACAGGGCAGAGCCATGTAAGCTGGGCAGGCGGAAGCGATTGAGGCCGTGGCTCGAGGTGAGCAGGATGATCAAGCCCACAGGCGAGGACTCCTCCAGCCTGGGCGCAGACAGGCAAGTGCATGGAGAGGCGAGCTGCAAGGCGAGCTGTGAGAGCCCGACTCGAGAAGCCAGCAGGACCCAGCCTAGTCGAGTAGATGCAGATCAAGGAGGTGGGATTGCAGGCTGGCGTGTGCCCGAGGAGCAAGGTGTGTAAGCTGGGCAAGAAGGGCTGCATGCTCAGCTTGCGTGAGTTCTCGCCTGGCTTCAAGGTATAGGACGTGGGCCTCGAGAGATGGCAAAAACTGCTCATAGTGCAATGCCTGAGTAAGAGCATAGCTGCGGTAGGTGTTGAACCTGGCACTTTTACGGTACCTCGAGACGGAGAGCGCCTCACACAGGAGGCGCGTACACAGAGGCAGGGCACTCCATGGTGCCTCAGCCACTGTCCTAGGACTGGGGCTGATGGCACAGGGCGAGCAGTCAGTGTCGTCAGGCACCCTGTGTGCCTGAAGTTTATTCCTGGGCTGCCACGATCTATCCTGCGGCTGTGGCTGCAAGCATAAGTTCGCCCGAGTAGGACCTGGGAGTGCAAACAGTGCATAACTCGCGGAGATGGAGGTAGACAGGGGCACCCACCAGACGGCGCCGCATTGTCCATCAGCTGCAGGAAGGACATGCTACTGTGACCTGAGCGACCGAGCTGAGCAAGAAGAAGCAGGTTAAGCAGGGGCCCTTGTGACAAAGCGGAGCAGCCAAGCATTTGTGTCCGGTGCTCGTGTACCATCGTTGCTACTGCGTCTTTGTGCTCCAAAATGAAAAGTTCGGGAAGCAGGGCACAGCGAAGTAGTGCTGCATGCAGTGCCTCAGACGTCCGATGGCATAGTAAGGCCTGACACCACTGCATTCCAGAGCTGGGCCGGCGTAGGGATAGCGGATGGTCCTGTCGCTGTCGCCGGAGTAGCTAAGCCCGTCGATGTCGAAGAGAAGGGGACCACAGCTGCCGGAGGCTGCAGGCGGAGATGAGGCCTTGGTCGTGGCCGCTGCCATTGCCATCGTCGCTGGTACGGGCATGTGCGGCAGTGGTGGTGCACAAATCGGCGTACAGATCGACAATGGGGTGACCGGGGTAAGGCGGAGCTGCCAAGCGCCTTGTAAAGTAAGTACAAGGTCTTGGGGGCAGCCTGTCGGCATCTGCATGGTTGGGGCCGGCGTAGGAGGCGGTGGGCCGGCTGGTCCAGCCGGGAACAGCGACCCGGATGAGCCGGAAGTGGTGGTAGCCGTTGCTGCAACCTTGGGATACACAGGGGCATGTACAGAAGCTCCAAGCGGCGTGAGCGCAGCAGCAGCTGCCTCCCCTGGATCATTGACCGCCACTGGGGGAGGTGGTCCATGAGGTGGTCCTCGACGAGATCCTCGTTTGGGCCCTTGGTCGACGCGTGGGCGTTCTTCTTGGGCGACATGCCAAGGCGACAGAGGAATCAAAAGGAGGAGGGCCTTGGGGTGAGGCAGCTGCAGTAGCTAGGCCGCTAGACGGCGACCAGTGCACTTGAGACAGAGAAGTGCAGCGGGCATCAAGGTCGGTTTGCAATGCAACAGGCAGGCTTGCCGTGCAGGCTGCAACAGGTCGGTCTGAGCACCAGGCGATGCTGTGCTGCTCCAAGCGACAAGGAGGGCTTGAAAGAGCTAGAGCCACAAGGAGAAGCTGGCGTGACCGCATGGCGGGAGTAACTTACACACTGGAACAATCGGCTCGAGCCAGAGCCTTATGTATGGATGCATGGATGCATGGATGCATGGATGCATGGATGCACGGATGTATCGATGCATGGATGCATGGATGATGGATGGACGAAGCGATGGAGCGGTGAGGGGATGGAGGGCTGCATGGCTGGATAATGGATTGATACACATATATGCACCAAGGAAGACAGAGGCGCTTCAGGTGTCGAGGTCATCTGGGGACGGCACCAACGGCATTTGAGGATGACCTGCTTTTCCCGGACTACATGACACGTCATGTTTGATAGTGACGGCAGAGGACCTATCATTCTACACATGCACAGGAACGTGCGGGTCACGCATCTGCAGAGTGGTCTCGGAAGCAAGCTCGCTCTCTGCATCAGAACTAGTACTCCTCTCATGCTAGCCTGCGAAGCAAGTCAGCGTAAGGGAGAGGATGACATCTAAAAGACCCGGTCGGGTCTGTCTTGCAAGAGTACAGCATCGAGGCGAGCATCAGGCCCCGGCTGCACACATCAAAATCTGAATCTGAGTGGGAGACTCGTGCAACTTCGTGCGGCTCTGCAAGTGTCGGGAACGGATACTGAATTCGGGTCACAGCGCCATGAGCTCCGGATTTGGCCGCCCCCCAACCAAGTCTACGAGGCTCAGCGGGCCGACGACACGAGATATGTTTGTGGTCAAACGGAAAGCTTCTCAATCATCTTGTTGAACCAGTTGGACTCTGCACAATAAGCCTCCTGCACGTAAGACTCCGCCCGATCCAACAACGTAGCGATGCTTTCAGCCGAGGTGTCCGACCAGGAGATGCCGGACTGCAGCCTTGGGCGGTGGTAGCTCAGCTGCTCGAAGCGAGAACGATAGTTGAAGCTGACATCAAGCTCGCAACCCAAAGAGAGCAGCACGCTTGGCGTTGGTGAGGATGGCGCCTGCTCTGCCCATAGCAAGGCCCTGGTCGCCAGCCCGTCAGCCGGACAGGTCTCTCCGTGCTGTTGCCCATCGAAGCCATGGGGAGGGTTCTGATCGAAAGCAGAGCTCCTGGCACGAACTGTCACAGACGTGTTTCTGCCCCTTGCCTACATATTGGCCGTCAACCTCTGTCTCCTATGACCTCCCGCCTTTCCCCTCCAGGGCCGGGCCTGAGAACATCGAACAGCTTGAGATTGCCCTTGTAGCCCTGGCAACCGCGACGAGCTTCGTCTGCGACCCGCTGTTGCAGTCCATCAGCCATGCGAGCCTGGACCATGATGTTGCCCAAGGTGTCCTTGAAGTAGATGGGTTCCTCTTCCGCCCAACTGGTCATGTCCTTGAGAAGCTGTTGCGCAACCTGGGGGACCACCTGCTTGCCCCGGAACACATACAGCTCGACGATATCACATGCACTGTAGCGGGGCTTGCCCTCCTCCGTTGGTGTCGCCAGGCCACCGATTATCAGGGATCCCGTCGAGGTCCCTGCCATCAGTTGGAAGACCTCGCTGAGGGGCTTGTGCAAGCGAAGCTGCAGCTCACTGAGAAGGACAGCCGGCATAACGTCCTCGACACCTTGTCCATCCACGCTCAGGATGTTGTACGGCTCCGGAGACCTCGAAACCTTCCCGACTTCCTGCGGAAAATTGTACAATGTTTTCCCATTCTTGCAGCGGAAGCCCATGCTGCTTTGCTGCCCCCATTTCGGCCGCTCCGCCTTATAGCTAGCCGGAGTCTCGCAATGCTGCATCGCAACGCGCTGACCCTCCTGCAAGCGTTGCAGCCACTCCTTCTCCTCAACGCAACTCTCCACAAACTCGGGCGTGTTGCCGACCTCATCGGCACACTTCTTTGACGAGTGAACCAATCCCTGACTCAAGAAGGAATGTGCCTTGGTTAAATAGATCTTGGAGAAGACAGAAGGGAACCAAAGGAAGCGCTGCGTCTCGTTGAGGATGTCGTCAGAAATGGTGGCATGCAGGCTCTCCTTGGACAGCAGGCGAAGGCAGGTCATGAGAATCTTGGCTTGGCGATACTCCCCCGGCAAGCCGGCAGAGGTGTGGATCCACAGTAGCTCTTTGGCAAAGCTCACCTTGCGATCGTTTCCCTCTTTGTGCTCCTGATCGAAAGCTCGTGAAAGCTCTTCCAAAACCTTCATGATCTTACCGCCTTTGCCATCCCAAGCAATCGTGCTTGGACGAACCCGGAGGTCACAGGCAAACTCTCTGGCAGCTAAGTGGAAATCTGCAGGTTCAAAAAGCAGTAGGCTGCACCACTTGTCGTTCTCCTCCGTGAGGAAGACCTCGATGCGCTCAACATCCTCCTCTGAAGGCTCCTGTGAAGACTCCTCTGAAGGAATTCGAAGAACTGCACGTTTCTCTGCAGACTGTGCAAATCGATCGCCACCGACGCCACCACAGCAACTCGCAAAATAGCCAGGCGGCTTGCACACAAACACCTGCTTGACGCCGCCACACTCTTTCGCCAGCCACCGCAGGGCATCGTCGCAGTCTTCGCTGCCGAGGGACGCCATGCGAGCAAGAATCTCCTGAGCCTGCTCTTGGACCTCCTTCGTCGGAGGACTGGTCTTGCACCTCTGGCGCGCCAGCGAGGCAAGAAATGCTGTTGTGAGGCTCTTGAACTTGCCCGGCAATGTTGTCTGCCCAGCTGCAAATGCCGGGAACTCGACGATGCACGCCAGCTCTTTGCTCCATTGCTCATACCTGATGATCTCCGCAGGGCTCGCTGCACCGTCATCAAGCATCTTGAGTTCACGGCCGGCAAAGACCTGGAAGAAGTCTTGCACGGCTTTAACGCGAATCTCCAGATCATAGGAGCAGTTGGAGGATTGCACGGATTTGAGAACCTTCTGCAGAATCAGCTCTGCCTTCTTGATGTTTCCATCCTCCTCTTGCGTTGCCTCCTGGTTCAGCAGCAACAGCATTGCCATGTTAATCCGAGTAATCTGCAACAGCTGGAACAACTGAGCCCGGTGTCCATCCTTGGCAGGCAGATCTTTCACAAAGAAAGATGCAAGGTCGTTGAAGGATGTCCACATGGACCGGGACAGCTCAAGCTCAATGGTGCAGATGTCCACCTCGTCCAGGCGTGGCAAATCCTTCAGCTCACTTCTCCGTTCGAAGGTGCCGCCGGCCTTCTTGTGGAGGGTGGCCTTCTGCACAGTCATGCCGACTTGCGCTGCGGTGGAGCAGATTCGTTCAGGCAGCTGCTTCTGCAGGCACCATGCCTGGCTGGCTCTGGACCATACGAAGCATTCCTCAAGAAGGCTGCCATCTTTCGCCTCAAAATGTGCCGTCTTCCGGGCGAGCGTATCTTCAGCGCTTGCCTGCTTGTCCATGTCATGTGCCGCCAAGTACAGCTCCCCATCCTCAGCAATGCTGGTCTCCAAGTAGTTCAAGATATTCTCTGCCTGAATCTTGAGCCGGTTGTACATGGGGACCTGGGCCTCACCGTTGCCGATCTTTATCCTCTTGATGCGTCTCGAGGCGAAGATCTCTGCAACCTGCAACAGCAGCTGTCCGATGAACACCGGGCATACTGACCATTCTAGAAGGAACTTGACGCTGCCCTCCAAGTCTTTCAGAGGCTCTTCCAGGGTGTGCGGGTAGTTCAAGATTTGCTTTCCAGCAGCCTTTCCGAGCTCTTTCGAGTCGGGCAACGGCCCGCAGAGCGTCTCCAGGAATTTTTCCGCACCCTTGGTTTGCAGTGCTTTGTGACTTTCCCGGACGGTGTGGTGCAACTGCTTCAAGAAGCTCCCACGAGCAGAGGCCTGCCAATTGGCTTTCAGCCCTGCCACACCACCTATTGCCAGAAGCAGAATTCCTGCACCCCCTGTCATGGCACAGCTCATCATCGATCCCAAGAAGAGAAATCCTGCGCCTGATGCCACTCCAGTCCCTCCAAGCACAGTGCAAGCTGTCTTGGAGAACTTCCACGTGCGGCACATTGGCGAAGTGCTATCACAACGGGCGACTTCCAGGGTAGGCACCATCAACTGGTATACGTCCATGTCAAACTCCATTGTTGACTGGAACACTTTGTCCAGATCAGCTCTTGTAGCAACTTGGAGGTCACTCCGAAGACGCTGACCTCTGCATGCGGTTGGAAGCAAAGCCAGTACATCTGTAGTGGCCGGATGGTCAGCTTCAGTCTTGCCCGTCCGCTCGGACATACAAGTTCCAGGCGCGTGCACTTTCTGCTCGACCTGCAGGATGGCCTTCAACAGCACGTTGTGCTCGCGCTGCTTCTGTTGATCTAGGGGCCAGGTTCGATGCCATAAGTGCTTCGCTCCGATCACGTAAAGCTGCGCAATGTTCGCGGGCAAGCTCTCCAGAACACACGCCTCGGCGATGAGGAGACGCACTCGAATTCGTCTGGGCTCGTCGGGCTCATCCTCACGATCCAAGAGGCGCATCAAGTCGTCCCAAAGTTCACGTGCACGCTTGGCGGCATCTTTCTGCTTGTCCTGGTGCAGGCTCGAAGAGTCCTTCTTGGCCAACTCTGCATTGTCCTCAGCACGGCGCATCCAAACTTTAGCCTCCCCCTCCAATTTCTGCAACCGCTTGCGACGGTCCATCAACTTTTCCCTTTCCTGTTCAATGTCCTTGCCGACCTGGCTTACAAGGCCTGTCGCGGCGGTGAACTTCTCAAGGTCTGCCTGCACCCGCTCCTCCACATCTCCCTCGGCATCCCTGATGCTGTGGACTTGCCAAGCCAAGGTCTTGGTCTTGTCGGTGTGGAAGGACTTTAACAGCTGGCTCTTCGTTGCCCGGAGTTTCTCGATGGGCATCTCTTCCCAATCGTGGCCGAAAAGGAAGGCTCGGGCTTCGGGACGGGACTTCTGGTAACACTGAGCCACCAGGGAGGCAGTGCTGAGCAGCACTTTGTAGTACTGCTCCCGCACCTCGAAGATGCCGTCCATCTCCTTCATGTTCTCCATCTCCTCTTCGATGAAGTGGTTGGTCTTCTGCTGGACAAGTGCGAAGAGCTCCTGCTTGAAGTGGAGCAGGAAGAAGGCCACCTTCTCATCATCCGAAGCGTTCTCGAAGGTGCAGACCAGCTGCATCACCTTGTCCAGATCGTCCTGCGGCTCTGGGCCAGCCACGAAGCCAGCGAGGCGCTCTTCCAGGCCTAGAATGACAGAGCAACACCCTCACTAGGCCCAGACCTGTCATCAAGAGACCTTGGGTCCTTCCTGCAGCCCTCCGTCTCAATGTGCCTTGACCTACCATGCTCCCCGGCAGGACGCCTCGGAGTCCGGCTGCCAGTCTGCATCCTCGGCCAGGCGGCATTGGTCCTAACACGGCGTGCGCGGGCTGTGTGGGATGGGTTGCTGGGCGGTGGCTTCAGAGCTTGGAACGAAAGTGCAGTCCTCCCAGAAGCCTCTCAGCCGGGCCTTCGCCTGACTTGCATCCACCTGACACGTCGACTTCTGCGTTTGCTCGAACTTGCAGATGAGACTTAGAAGGCAAGACAAGCGGGAGATTCGCTACATGCGGCAACCCGGCACCTTGGGCTTCAGGTGCAGCACCTTCTTCGAGAAATCCCAGCGCAAGAGGTTGCCAATGTCCCGGAGCATTTGGTCGGTTTCGCGCCCCGTTACGTGCTGCAAAACTTCCGCGAGGTCACCTCAGATTCCCGGTGGTTGTATCTCGTCCCTCCCATTCCCATCCCCCAGAATTTGTTGGCTCCAAGGCACCTAAATGATCGAACACCTCCTGGAATTTCTTCATGAGTTCCACAGAGCTGCCTTCCGAGACCGCCAGGTGCTGGTAGATGCCAAAAACCTAAGAGTGCATGGAGCTGCAGACCTGCCTGCCAAAACCAATACACACAAGATGCGTCCCTTCCGATTCAGAAGCGCAGCCTGCTCGACGATCTGGGCGACCTCGTGGCCACACTCCGTCGCGAGCTCCAGCACTTGAGACTGCTTGTGCAGCTTCCCGCTGGGGCCAAAAATCTTGCCGAGCTGTGCTTCGTCCCAGGCCATGCCGATCAGGTGTTGTCTTGCTGACCCTTCCAGGAAGCACGTGTGAGAGCCAGAATCGCTGCAGAACATGCCCTCTGTTTTGCTTTGGTGGGCCTGGGCCTTAAAGTCAGATGCACTCGCTAGGCTCCCTGCTCGCAGCTCAACGTGTGTAAAAGGATCTCTCAGGATTGAGACAGAAACGAGCAGAACATAGCAGAAGGCTCTGCCATTGACACTCGACCCTGGTGCAGGTGCCTCACATACAGTCGTGGAGACGACGGGAACGAGCCTGTGCATGCTAAGGCTTGCAGTGTCCGACGCACTCGATAGGCTCCCAGCTCGCAGCTCAACTTCCTGGGGATCTCTTAGGAAACGAGCAGAACTGTCAGGCTCGTGCATTGACACCGGGCCCTGTGCGAGGCCTCGCATGCAATCGTGAAGATCGGTGCATGCAAAGTTATGTTGGTCAAAACACTGCCAAGAACAACTTGAGCATTCGCTTCATGGGCGCTGTCGTAATGCTGCTGCACGCACGCAACGGAAGCAGCGAGATGCAAAGCGGGCCCGGTCAGGATGATCGGGTCGCCATGTCTGAAGCATCGCACATGCCTCTAGCCCACGACAGACCGAGACCGACATTCAAGCAACGTCAGCAAGTTTGGGATGCGTGATGGGGGACGTTCCAGAGACAGTGCACAACCAGACATCGCTCTGCTTCCACGACCTTGTGGCTTGTGCCACTCTAGCTTGCGATGCTGGTTGGCTGAATCATTTGGGTACATGTAACGACAGGAAAGGAACTGATTGGGATGCGAGTATTGCTCTTGTAGCTACTTTCGCTATCTGCTCCCTCGGGGACAGCGGCATCCCGGATGCTGACCTGCCGTGAGAAAACAAGCCCCAGATGTACAAAGCAACAGGAAAGCGGAATCGAGAAGGGTGAATCGGAACGAGTTCCAGCGACTCGGCTGCTGTGCAACAATGAGTTCAGGTGAGGCCTCTGACAATCAGGCCGGCACTGACAACTTGCAGCTGAAATTGCTAGATGCGCACTGAGAGGATCTAAACCTTAAACCTCCTGCCTGATCAGCTGATCGGACGGCGGCACAACCCATCCGCACAAGCAGGAATGCCTTCGCAGCTGGAATTTCGATTTTCGATCGGGGCATTTAGTCTGAAGTGAGGGCAAGGGCTATCCTGGCTTCGCCCAGTCAAATCATCCGGTCGTTCGGTCCAGAATGCCAACACACACCTAAATAGGCCAAAACTTTGTTCCATCTTCAAGCTCTCCGAGAACCTGGATGCCGTACGTCCCTGGGCTTGTCAACGGGCTCCGGGGGTCGAGAACTCAACACTGTCTGAAGCACTTCCTAGTTCCATGTCGGTTTCTGTGACAGCTATTTGACTCATCAGTGGGCACACGGGCGAACTGCATGGGCAAGCCTCAAGGTTCGAACGCAGACACTCTCTTCCCCCCCTCCCTCCCTCCCTCCCTCACTCCCTCCCTCGCTCGCTCTCTCTCTCTCTCTCTCTCTCTCTCTCTCTCTCTGTCCCTCTCCCTCTTCTTCTTCCCTCTCCCTCTCCCTCTCCCTCTCCCTCTCCCTCTCCCACCCGGTCCTCTCCGGCTTCGCTGTGTCGCGATGGGCTTTCCGGGCCGTCGGCCTCCGAGTGCTGGGAAGGGCCGCCGGACTCCGCAGCAGACGCCATGATGGTTTGGGTTTAGAGCCCTTTTACGGGTTTGGGGTGCTTTAGGGCTTAAGCCCTCTAGGGTTTAGGGCCTTGTGGGTTTAGGGCCGTTTTTGGGTTTAGGGCACTTGTAAGGTTTGGGGCCTTTTGGGGTTTAGAATAAGGGTTCTGGAGATTTTAGGGTTTAGAGTTTATTGCGTTTAGGTTTACAGTTGAGGGTTTGAGCCGGGTTTAGGGTTCAGAGTTTAGGTCTTAGAATTGAGGGTGTAGATCAAAGTATCCACAGGCGGCCGCTCTTCTCACGCTTTTCCATCAGCGAACACTCTAAGCTCGCGAGTACCTTGGGGGACCTCGACACGTAACGCCGACGGTCACACATTATCTTTAGCTTGTGCATGGAGCTTTCCTGTACACATCCGGAATCTGCTGCAAGTTTTCTCACATCCGGGGGCTAACATGCACAAGCATCTATGACTTCTTCAAAGTCACAGACTTCACTGCTTCATCTTCAACCAAAACAAACATGCCCTCCTTAAGAACCTTACGAAACAAGTTCATCGGTGCCCCTTTCTTTGTCAAGACGTCAACGATCATCTGTTGGGTTGCCATCCATCGTAGCGATATGTTGTACTTGCCGATGTCCTTTTTCAGCAACAACATTTCGATCGCCATCCGCTACCGGTTTGCAGTCTATCACTGCGGTGATTGGCACGTTGTGGCTCCACTTTGCATCATCTTCCAGACGATAACCGCTATGCACAGCCTCGCACCACATTGAACGTACCCATCTGGCTTCTGCTAGCCCTCTCGATAAGGCCAGCAATTCTGCACCCAATGTCGAATGCGTTTGCCGATCCTGCTTGAAGCTCTTCCATCGTAAGATGGAAAACGTTCCCCACTTGCCCTGCGCCAGCCGCTCATCGCAACTAGCAATCATGTAGCCAGCTTGACTGCAATATCCTGCAGCGTTGGCCCACGCTGCATCCGTAAGGACACAGAACTGCACATCCGCTATCGGAATGGATCTAATCCATACGTAAGACCTGCTGTAGTCTCGAGCAAGGCTCACCAGCTTGTTCACTTCTATGAGATCACTCACGCAAGCAGTGTTCACCTTCTGTTGCAACAGCGAACACCAAGCAGCAAGATCAGGCCTGCTACTCGTAACAAGCCAATTGATCCCTCCTAATGCACCACGCATTTCCTGTCTCTCGGCATCACTCAGCTCTTGTTCCTTCTGTCTTCTTCTTTCTTGACTAATGGAGATGCCCTTCAGGTTTGACGCGTAGTGTTCTTGTGAGATCTTGATGCTACCGTCAGGTTGCTGCTCAATCCACTTTCCCAGGAACTCACCCTTTCCAGTTTTCCAATGTTTGAAAGGAAACAGCTCACGGAGTTTAGCTTGCACCTGCTGTTGGAAGTGTTTGTCTCCGCCCATACACAGATCATCAACATGAAGAGCTATCACGCCACTGATTTTGTTATTGTGGTAGTAGTAATAGACACAAGGATCGAACTCTGAAGCACGCATGCCTAGTCCGGTTAACTTGCCATGCAGACATGTCCACCAAGCCTTTGGAGCGTCAGCCAGGCCGTACACTGTTTTAACGGCCTCGACCAGGCACGTTTCATCGTACCCTTCGATCCCTCCCAGCGGTAAATGAACAGACGACCTCGGCTCGGACTCAAGTCATCTCCTCGCAAGAAGGCTCCTTCCACATCAGCAATGGTCACCTGCCAGCCTTGGCTGGCCATTAACTGCATCGCTACTGAGAAACCTTCCGAGGACAGAGTGGGTGCACAAGTGTCCAACTCCAACAGATCAGGATCAAGATAACCACGTATACACCATCTGGCCTTAATGTCACTGGTCTGTGGACTGCTGCCAGCCTCGGCCTCGGTGAGTACAAACCTCGACTTCAACAAACGCCTTCGTGGGATTGTGCTCCGCAGCTCCTCTGCCTTCTTTCCACGATGAACCACTATTGCACCGCTCTGCAACAGCTTATTCCATTCTTTCAACTTGGCTTGACACAATCCAGACCTCCTATCCTTTCCAATTTCATGCTCACTCAACTCCTTCCTTCCTTTCTTCGCGCTTCCAACCTCAAAACACTCATCCTCACGCTTGCTCCACTTCCAACCTGGCTTGAGCTGAAAGATGGTTTTACCTGTCCACCTGGCGTTTGGCTTCCTCGACAAGGCTCCCTTTCTCCACTCATGCTCAACAACATGCTTGTTGCCCTTGCGGTCATACTGTAACGCCTGACACACAGGTTCAACGTCTGAGGCTCTTATGGGCAAGTCTTCGTCACGCAACTGCAAGCACGCATCACGCTCATCAACATGCACACGCACAAGCTGCGACCGATCATGATCCACAATCCAATGGTCTGGACCGCTTGACAATGTCACTTCAAGCTCCTCATCAGTCTCATCAGGCACTGGCACCGACTCGGGTGCACAGCCCAGCTGTGAAGAACTTGCCGCTTGTGACGGCAACCCATCAAGCAACTGCGGATCAAGCCTGAGAGCCTGACTCAAGGGAGTGATTCCTCCTGGTTCAGGATCAACTCGTTGTCTCTTTGTTGGAGACGCACCGGCTCCTTCGTCACTTCTCGGATCATCACTTCTAACAACAGCTGCCGCAGGCAGCTCAGCAGCTGCTTGCTGCATTCCCACGTCTTCCTCTTCGCCCTCCAACAGATTGTGTGCAACTTGTTCAACTCGCTGACTCTCACGCGCAATTTCACCAACACGCTCCACAGCCCCTCACTCCGGCGGTTTGTCAAGCATGCTCAAATCATAGAAATTGCCAGCACCACGAGCACTTACTTCATGTCGCATCATGACCATATCAGCTGGTAACAGCCTGATGGTTGCTTCCTGCTCTGGTGACAATCTTCTCAACTGCTCCGGACAACACCTGTACACCTTCGTGCCCTTGGCAACCCACACCTTCGACTGACCACTTTTGCCAATCACCACTGCAGGACCATGCCAATGACACTTTGACTCGAACCGACTCTTACGCCAGAAATACACCATCTGTCCTGCCTCGAAGGGACCACTCCACGCTCTGGCCTTGTTCGATGCTCCAGTGCTTTCCTGATCTTTTGTTCTGAATCAGCATCAACAAAGGCTCTACGAGCTGCCTTTCTCAATTCCATGCGCCTTTCAAAGACACTCTCGCCCTCAACCAAGGAAGAGTTCACCACGGGATCGTAGTCAGTCGTAATCATGCCCGGAATTCTTATGTCTCTACCGAACACATGTTGATACGGCGAATAACCTTCAACCCTAGACATGCTGTTCACGGCATTGTTCACCTGATCAACGAGTTCTTGAACCTCAGGTTTTGACCTTGGTTGGGTTTCCAGGTGGGCCTTAGCGAACGCAGCCTTCCAAACGCCGCCCTTTCTTTCCGCCAGCCCGTTCTGCCACGGCGCGTACGCCGCTGACACATCTCCATGACGGCCTATGTTCACGACAAGGGCTACGTGGCATGGGTGAGGAAGTTTGTGAAGGGCGGCAAGCACGAGACGGGCAAGACGACGCACCCCACCATGGCGCAGTTCAGGCTGTATATTGCGCTGAGAGACCAGCGCAAATCGAGCCGGATCATCAACGATACACGACCGGTGGCGCCTCCGAGTGTGATGCCTCTGCAAGCAAAGGCGAAGGCCAAGGCAAAGTCGAGGACGGCAGTGCCGAGCAGTTCAAGCTCGCAGAGGGCTGGATACAATCGTCCAATGGAGGAGAACGAGTGGATCTTGGCGGCCAATGTGGAGCAGCCGGAGCCGACGCCTGCGGAACGGCGTCGCCAGAGGCTTTTGCAGCAGATCGAGATGATGCAGCACGAGCTGGAGCGCCTGAACGACGAGGACCAGGACTAGATGATGATGAAGTATGTGGTCTCACGGCTATGAGTAAGAGCGAAAAGCAGCTGTGTAGGCGCGGCATTCAGAATTGTAAGATTCCTGAAGAAAGGGAGCTCGAGGTCTCATCTGAGACCGAGGTGCTTCTACTGGAACCAGGAGTAGAGTTGTCAACTGTCGCGGCAGCTGGTCTTACAGTAGACCACATGTTCTCCGAAGGTGTTTTGAGTGCCTCGGCAATGCGCTCAGCGGAGACTGTGCAAAGTGCCGTTGAAAAGATTCAGCAATGCAAGCCTCTGTTAGTTGTGATCCGGACGCCAGAGCACATGACATGTACCCGCGGAAGCCGCGGTCTTTGCAGGACTTACACGACTAGTCAGAGGTGTGCCTTCCCTCGCTTAGTTGCAGCATGTTGTGCTGAGCAGTTGTGTGAGGGTAGGATGTTTTGCGTGTTTGAAGAGAACGACAGTCTGAAGTCCGGTGTCAAGTCGTGGTCAAGAGTCATGTCAGAGAGCAGCGTTGAGGTGTTGAAGATTGGTGGCGAAGGCAGTGATGCGACCATTTACACGAATTGCAGGAAAGTGACAGGAAGGATGACGGCAGGATGGCCACATGTGCACAGGAGAGATGATGAAAGGTGGTTTGGCAAGGACATTGCTGTTGCTGTGATGGAGAGAAAGAGAGAGAGACATGAGGTGATGGTTGCCCACTGTGTCTACACGATTGACGATATCAGAGTGAATGGAGAAGACAGCGACAGGAAGATCATGAGTGTTTTGCGGAAGTGTCATGAGAATCTTGGGCATCCTTCAGCTGCGCGTTTGGTCATGCTGTTGAAGTCTGCACATGCTAGCGAGAGAGTGATCAAGTTGGCAAAAGGGCTTGAGTGTGAGACTTGCAGTGCTTTGAGTGCCCCTAAATCACACAAAGTTGTCAAGATGCGCAAGGCTACTGAGTTCAACCAACAGGTGTGTGTTGATACCTTTGAGTTGGATGTTAGGCATGCCAAGATACACTTCTTGAACATTGTTGATGAGGCTACTGGTTTTCAGTTGTGCACTCCTTTGTGGAAAGGCATGCAGGCCAAACATGTTAGGAACGCGTACCGTAAGAGCTGGAAGCGATGGGCGGGCGCGCCAATTAGGCTTTTCAGCGATGGCGGGAAAGAGTTCGAAGGCGAGTTTGAGCACGGGTTGTCGTTGGATGGGACTCGAAGCTGGTGGCAGCCATCTTTTGGTACTTCCCCACATTGAAGATCGTTCTGCCGCTTAGCCCGTGCACGAGCCCGTCTGGCGCGTCTTCGTCGTGATCTGACATCTGGTCCAACGTCTGGGCCGACATCTCGTTCGGCCCTTCCTCGAGTTGTGGCTGCACTTCCTGCAGCAAGCTGTCGATCAACGGTGTCCTGACAAAGGGCTGCTGCATCTCCATCGGCACATCGTTGTTGAGGTAGCTCATGGTTTCCAAACAGTGCCTTTGGAGGGTCTACTGCAGCTTCCTTAGAACCAAAACTCTCTGTGGCATTCACGTCATGCGTCTTGGCTTCCATGTTCTCTGTCGCTCCAGACTTGGGCACAACACCGATACCCTCGACCAAGGGGATAGCATAGTGTCCCCGCTCAGTTTCACGTAACTTCATCTTGACACCGCACCTCCGAACTACTAACTCATCATGTTCCATATCCAAAGTAGCCTTCAAACCCCTAAGAAGTTCCTTGGACCGAAGCAGTGGAGTCCATGATCCACTCCCCGGTAGAACAGCTGCCTTTATAGCAAGCCGCTTTTCCCCTAATTGTACTGGAATGATCGCAGCCTTGGTGGTTCTAAGCATCCCCGCGTTCTCAAACTTGAACTCATGACACTCGTCAACGAACCTCACCCTAAGGCCTTCCTTCTCCAGTACTTCAGACATGCGACTCAGGACACTCTCACCAATAAGAGTACGCCTACACGCAGTATCCGGAACCCCATGAGTCGCAAGATCTGCCATATATGCCTCGCTGGATGCAGACTGATCCTGCTCTGTCTTGAAAAACTGAAAGATCCTCTGCTCAAGATCCCCCGTCACTACGTCGTCTCCCTGTACACTCGGATCAGCGAGCACTACATCGACTCTGCCATCTTGCTCAGCTAAGTAGATCTCCAGCTGGTCGATGTCTTCCTCCTGCAAGAAGAGCTCCTGTCCCAGTTCGTACGAACCAGGATCGCCGCCTTGATCGGTGACCATTGCGTCGCTGGCGCGGCTTGACCTCGCACCGGTTGCAGCTCCAACCTTCTTCTTCGGACATTCACGCTTCCAGTGCCCGTACTCATTGCATATGTGGCAACGACTGCGTGACTTCATCTGCTCGATCTTCCCACGCACCGTTCCTGTCAATGTCCACTTCGAAGAAGACTGTGGGGGCTGCTTGTAACCACGGCCCATTTTCTTGGCTTGCATCTTCCGTCGAATGTCTTGGTACGTCTCGTAGACTTCAATGGCGTCCTCATCGTCATACTCGTCCTGTGCTTGCAGCTGGTCTGCAACTGCTTGAAACACATCTTCTCCTTCGTCGCCATCTGGGTCCACGATCTTCTTCTCTCGCGGCGGAAAGGGTTCTCCGTCCAGCGGGCACCTACATCACGCATATCTTGCGATGACGGCCCCTCAAGGGAGCATGGCACGAGTGCCTCTTATGGGCATCGATTGCTAAAAACACCTAGGTGACGTACATAGATGACCATTCAGTCATCCATGGTTTCCCAGTCGATCCGGATCAGAGTGGTGGATGTGATCAATGTCTGAGTCTGCTCGCTTTGCACTGTGCAGCGAATGTTGCCCACTATGGTCTCCAGTAGGCGAACTCTCTGCTCCATGGTGTTGTAGAGCCGAAGAAGCGTAAGCAGATCCGTCGAGACTTTTCGCATCTCTGATTCCAGAAGGCGCATCTGTCCACTGAGCCACACTATGTCTGTTTGTGAGGCTGACAGCGGATAGGCAGGCTTCATGTCGGTGCTCTGACACACGCGCTGTGTGATTTGAGCTAAAGCTTCGCAAGTTAACAAGTAACAAGCACAGCAATGTAAATGTTTTGATGCGCGGATGCTTGCATGGAAGCTTCGAGCGGATGCGGCTCTTTTTCGTCATCTAAAACCGTCCAGCTATTCTCCCCCGAAGCAAGGATCGTGGTGTAGTGGCCTGAGCAAGGCGTCTGGCCATGATGTTGGATGTATGCTATTGCACGATAAGGCACCCACTCAACATCATACCCCGTGGAGCTGGCATACACAGGAACCTGCACATGAGGAGTCAAATGATAGGCTTGAGCAGTTTTGACAGCTTGGCCACTTGACCATGCGAATCGTGGAATCTGCATGAAGATCCATGGAGCTGCTGATGTGAATGCATACATGGTGTCCTGACTGTGCCAAAAATTTATGAGCAGTTGTATATCAGGATGGTGGGCGGGAGGCTCAACCAGGATGACACAGTGTGTTATGGGGGCATCGACAGTTTTGCCAATGCCTGTATCCGTTGCATAGCGGAGCTCCACAACTCCTTTGACCACAGAGGCGGCCAGTTTCGGATGCAGGTGATTTATCAGCTCAGTGGCATCGTGCTGCTGCTCAGGCCGGCGCCAGCCCAGAAGCTGAAAACCCAGGTGACGGCGAATGTGTATGAAGTCAATCCCGTCAGCATGTCCCCTAAGCACCTGGGGCAAAACGGACATGTTGCCTGTGTGCACTGCCGCCGCCCACAGACTATAGATAACGGCGTTCAAATAGCAAAGGTTATTTGGATTATGCAATCGGAAGGATGGCATGGCAATCTGATGCACACGAATGGTGCTTGGTGGTGCATCCTGAGAGTCCGACGTTTGAGCATTCACCTCCCATGGTGCAGCCGAGCTGGCAGTCGGGATCAGCTGCCAAACATGAGTTGGGCCAGTTGTGTGGCCGCTGGCTTCCGAACCATGCTCTCCTTTTTCAGACTCATTCCGATGAGTCCTGTGAGGGAGCAGTTGATCAGCTTCTCGAAGTGCTCGTAGACCTCCTGAGCCAGAGAGCCCCTCAAGGAGATGTCCAGCAGAAACGTGGCCGAGGTGCGGTTCTGATCCTCCAAGTGCTGGAGCCGTTGAGTGCTTTTGAAGTTCTGAATGATGTCGTACTTCAGATTCTCGTAGAGAAAGCTCAGCACTCTCACAGCCTCGGTATGTTGCAGCGGTGTCCGGTCCTCGTTTGGGATGAGAGTTTTGGTCTTCCTGCACCACTTCATGTAGTGCCAGTCCCCATTCTCTGCCAGCCATTTGGCTTTCCGCAAGGAATCCCTCCCCTCCTGGGTGGCCACGACGTGCTGCAGTCGCTGCTGTAACTCCTTGATGAGGTTCGCCAGGAGCACGGTCCGAAGTGGCGAGACAAGGCGATCGTCGCCCTGATCTTTGCGAGCGTTCCACTCTCGGGCTGCTCGCATCATCGCCGGAAGAACACTGTGGGTGTCCTCCTTCAAAAACATCACCAGGCCGCGGTCCAGGCTGAGGCAGTTGATGCGATCTTCGTGCTGAAGCAGGAGCTTGGTGATGGCCATCATCTTCTGGTCCTGAGGGCTGGTGTACATCGGCTGGTAGGTCGCGAAGTTGTGTCCTCGAGGAGGGTGCGGGCGCTGATGATGGTCCGGCCTCTGACGCTTGGATCTCGATTGAGCGCGGGTCGGTGCCGGTGTCGCTGTGTCCGACACCGTGGTCGTTGTCGGAGTGCTTGAAGGAGGAGCTCCGCTGGGAAAACAGTAGCGGAAGATGTCGGCCTCTGGGTTCTCCCCTGCCATGTTGCCGGAGCCGATCCTGCACAATGAGGGCTGCTGTTGAAACCTGGTAGAGGGCGGTACACTGGGTAGAGTGCCTGCCCGGAGCTCCTACGGTGGATTTACAATACATGCATGCTCGTCCACGTGTGAGCTGAGACTTGAAGGTTTTGCAGAGCACAAGAGCTCTTGCAGGAACGTCCCCTAGCTCATGTGAGTGAACAGTGTTCATGTGTTGCTTTACGTGCTTCGAGCTGGCAAGCCACATGTAGCACAAAACACAGCGCTCAAGAAGATCCTTGCGGGCCCCTGGCTGCAGGGGCCAGGAGGCCCAGCTGTGCACACTCTGAATGAAGGACGGTCGACGCACTAAGGGCAGTTGATCTTCAGGTATGTTTTCCACGTCCAGAGTGTGGCTGTCGGAGGAGGTTGCCGGTGGCATCTCACTCGTGACCTGAAGTGCATCTGCTTCGACGGGTTTGCGAATGAAGCTTTCACCTCCAAGGGCTTCACATGCTCCTGTGTTGATGTGTTTAACCAGCTGCTGATACCTGAAGAAGCGTCTGTGACAGAGACGGCATTCTGGGAGTCCTCCCACTGAGTGGGCCACTGCATCGAAGGTAGTGGGGCACTTTGGGTGTGCCGGTAGCCTGCCGTGCGCTGACAGTGTATGCGCATGCCATTGAGGCTAGCAAAGCTTTCACCACACTCCGGACAGGCTACGGTCTGCACGGAGGCTTCATCTACGGTTCGCTCCTCCCGCAGAGGAGTGGAAGCAAGGATTTGCAGCTGACGGAGCTGCTCCTCAGCATACTGTAGGACCTGGGGCATTGTGGTGATGTCGGGTGCAGTAGTGGCTCGGGCTTGTTGTTTAAGGACATACTGTTCCAGGCTCTGGGCGAGCTGTTGAGCAGGAAGTGGGTGACCCGCCTGCTGCCAGATCTGTGCTGTTGTGGTATGGCTGATGTGTGCCGGCTGCCTAAGAGCGGCTCGCAGCTGTTTGGTCGAGGCTTTCGTCAGCTTGTCAAGACCTTTGCTGGTCAGGCCGACCGCAGTCAATGAGTAGTGTGCACTGGTCTGCACACAGGCTGTCCAAAGGCGAATCCTGTTATGAGCCGTAAGTACATGATGCCCATTGAGGGTACGACGAAGTGCTTGATAGCGGCCGTTCCCGGCCTTCACACGATGGTCTGCATTCAAGTTTTTACGACCCTGATAGGAGACAATCGACCCCAAGTATTCATGTTGTGCCTTTATTGGAAGAGTGCAGTCGCGGCCTGACACAGTGAGTCGGAGAAGATGTTGACCGGCCTTGGTGATAGTATGGTCGCGAAGAATTTTTGCAGCATCTTTGCCCTCTAAAACAAGTAGGATGGCTGTTTTTGTAAAATTTACAGTAAGATGAAGAGATTCAAGGATGGTAAGAATCAGTTCAAGATCAGCTTTCGCTCGTTTGAAGTCAGTCAGGCTACGTATAATCCAGTTCGACCACACATCATCCGCGAAGATTGTCATGATGTGAGCTAGCCATTGCTCACTCCTAGACTGCATAAGGAGCTCCATGAACCGCAGGGTTAGGAAGCACCAAAGATAAGGTGCTATTTTGCAGCCCTGTTTCACGCCATTGGTTGTGCTCGTAGCTCCGTAGCTGTTCTGACCTACCTGATATTTGTAAAGGGCATGCAGGTGAAGCTGCTGCACGGCATTAACTACCTCCTTGGGCACCCCATGATGGAGCATGGTTTGGTACACTTCAGGTCGGCTCGCACTGTCAAATGCACGCGAAAGGTCTAGCGACAGGCTCATTGCTCCAATGCACTTGGCAGCCTTCTTGCCTGCCTTTTGCTGGAATCGATCCACAATGTTGTCTTTCAGAATACTAGCAACCTGATGGAAGTGCATGTGAACCCTAAGGAGGGCCTCCTGTGTGCCTCTTTGCTTGATGTAGGCAAATTGGGGAAGCGAGGCCAAGGCTGGATGAAGTACTTGTAGTAGCCGCTCACGAAGGGCACCTGCGAGTGCTTTGGTCGTTGGACATTGGAGTCCGATTGGACGAAGAGCTTCAACAGAAACCGGTGGTTTGTTCGGCTTCGGGAGCCACTTGATGTAGCAGTCTTTCCAGTCATGTTGCAAAGGCTGCTGAGCTGGCAGAGCAAAGTGGTCGTTAAGAGCGCTGGCAAGGCAACTGCCGAGACAGGCATGGCACTGCTTCCAGACGGCCGCCGGTGCAATATGAGCCGGGACCGCTTTTCGTAATTTCAGGGCTCGAAGTTCATCTTGCAGGCTCTGTTCAGGAATGTGAAGAGGCTCGTCTGGCTCAAGTGGGTGTTCTACATCTATTAGGGCTGCAAAGGTTTGCTTGCCATGCTGGAGGATGGCCTGCAGTTCGCCAGAAGGCGTCATCAAGCGACCATCGGGGCCTAGCAGGCGAGAGGCAGTCTTGTAGGACTTCGGCGCCATTCGTTTGACAATCTGATACAGGGTTCTCTGGTCATGGCGGGCTGCAGCCTCTTCTGCCTCTTGAATTTGCTGTTCATAGAAGGCTCGCTTGAGGTCCTTGCTTTGTTGTCGAAGAGCCCGAGAGGCCTTTCGAAACTGCACTAGCAAGCGCCATTTTCGCCAAATGTGAGAGAAGGTGACCACCGACGCTGACTTGAGTCTGGCATACAGGGCCCATGTCTGCCGGGCAGAGGCTTTATATTGCGGGTTATTGCTTATGCGATTATCCGGTTTAGGCTTAACCGGAAAGAATTTCTCAGCTGCATCCCACAAGATCTGATTCAGACTGGCCTGAAGGCAGGAGGCATTGGGAGAGGACTGCTGCAGCAGCTGCTGCACGCGAGCCTCAACATGAGTCTGCATAGCTTGTGCAGGTTCAGTCTGGTCTGCCACTGCCTGCTGCAGAACATCTAACTGGCAGCGATGTTGGGCGGGCAGGTGTGCTGGTTCTTGCCTGCGAAAGGGGCGCAGCCACAGCTCAGCATGAAGCGGGCGGTGGCCAGCCTGCCGCCAGCCCGCAACAGGAAACCGCACGAGGGGTATACAGTGCTTTGCCTTACCCTTAGCTTCGGCACAGCGAACCACAACGAAGTCTATTTGACTATTGTGGGTCGGGGTTACATACGTATCACGATGAGGTGTGTGCCAAGTGTTCAGGGCGCAGAGGTCGCCTTCTGCAAGCAGCTGCTGCAGCTCCGGCGAATGGTTGGCCGCCGGGGATCGGGTAGCTGCACCACCTACGTGGGGGTGTTGTGGGGTGAGGTTGGCATTAAAGTCACCAGCGATTAGGAGGTGATGGCGTTGTGGGGTTTGCTGCACGATCGTGGAAATAGCGTGCCAGACTCCCCTGCGCAGCTCAAGATTCTGTATCGCAGACAAGTGAGTCCGCCAGACATGTTGGTAGATCCCCACTATTGTGATCGGAAGCTGGCTCGTTTTTACAGTCGCTCGAACCTGAAGGACCCTGCCTGGAATCGGCTCGTGCACTGCTGGATCCTCGAAGTATTTCTTGGAGAGCATCACCAAAATGCCACTGGACCTGTCCGGGGGCGAACATGCGTATCCTGAGGAGTGCATACAGAGCCAAGGCCCTGATGTAAAATCAGATTCACAAGTCCAATGTGATTCTTGGATGATGATGATCTGGTAGCAGTTTTGTTGATCGATCCAAGCGAGGAGTTCTTGATATACGTGAGACGACAGGCCTCCGGCGTTCCACGATAGCAGGTTGAGGCTGTTTTTATTCGGACGATGGTTAGGGATCTGCCGGGTTCTCGAGGTGGGCCTAGTGTGATTAGGGGAGGCAGGTGAAGCAAGCTGTCCCAGCGTGCGTATGCTGTGCCATTGTCCCCTATACCAAGTACCCCCTATGGTGGATCTAGCAGCCCTGCCGCATGCTCGTTTGTATGCTCGTTTGACATGTCTGGGAAAGGGTGCAATCGATCCCTGGGGTGCCTGACCATGATGCTTCTCCACCGAAGTGGATCCCGCACCTGCCATGGTAACAGGTGCAACCCTCGCCCCAGTAGCCTGTGATATGATAATGTGTGCAAGCGCGGTCTGCAGGCTACGGCCGGACTTGGGACCGGCTCTACTCACAGCAGGGGTGCGACAGCTCAAGGTGTTGGTAGGACTTAGGGAGGGGGGAGGACCTAGGGAATTAGTAATTAGCTTCTGTCCGCCTGCAGCGGCACTGGCTGCAGGCAGCCGGGATGGCAGAGGAGCAGCTGTAGCCGCAGCGGCCATGTGCACACTCCTGGTCGGGTATGGTCTCTTGGGGAGCTTAAGGAGTTTAAGGAAGGGGCCAAGGGGGTGAAGATGTTTAAGAGGCTGAAATTTCGCAGTGCAATGGCTCCTGGCACGACCAGGAGGAGACAAAGCCAAAGGCTGTGTCAGTCGCAGTGCATCAGTCATCTTCTTCTGTGTCCCCCGTGTGGTATACATGTGTGAGCTTGTGCTCCGTTCGGAGCCACTCCCTAAGATACTGCCCTTCCAGACGTTGTGTCGCGAACCCCTGGACCTGTGGCCATCGAAGCTGTCGCAGGCAGCGTCGCAGAGCACCAACACGTGCTCCCACTGTCCTGTTGTTGATGCCTTCTGGTTGTTCTGTAAGCTGTCTTCGGTACAAAGTAACGAAAGTGTCACAGGCATCGGCCAATTCCTGGCCTTCCAAGACCAAGGAGGTCTCAGACCAGTATCCCCCGTCAGTGTGGCTGTCGGCGGCATCTGCTGCCGCGTCTGCATCTGGCTCCTCTTCGTCGTCTTCATCGGTAGCGTGAGCGGCGTTATGGGTCTCAGAGTCGGAGCTGGAGCTGGAAGAAGTCGATGCACGGGGTCGTCTTCGCGACCCTGTGTGTGTAGGCCCTGGCCGGGCACTTCCATCATGATCCTCTCCGTCGGCATTATCATCGGAGACTGTGGCTGGATCAGCCAAAGCAGGAGGCATCGCGTGGCTAGCAGCATCATAGTGCACAGGAACGGGTCTCGGCGGCCCCTTCGGAGCCAGGTCTGCGGCCGTTGGTGGGCCGTACACTTGCTGATCTCGCGGCGTGCGCTCTGTGCTTTCCAGCTCATCTGAGGAAGGCTCTGGAGGGCCAGAGCTGCCATGATCGCTCATCTAACTTCACCGAAGAAACAGAGGAGACACCAAAAGAAACACGAGCCCCCAAGAAAAGAAGATCCCGGGCACTCTGCTGTGAGCCTGGGGCTTCTGGGTCCACGATCTCGTCATCTGCATCACCGTGAGCTTCAAAGACTTCCCGGCTCTTGTGCCCACCAGTCCTTGCAACACCTTGAGGGAAGATAGCCGTAATGGCCGCCGTCACCTCCTTGTACACCAAAGACCCCTTGGTGTGGGTGAGGACCATCCACCGAATGTTCCTTCAACCTGGCATATGCCGTTTCCAGCCGAACTGTCAAGTTGCGAAACGACTCTTGGGCTCGGATCGTCCTTCTGCAACTCTTTGTGCTTTGCGTCCAGAGCCTCGAAGACCAAATCGTGGCCTCCTTCCTTCACTAGCTTCTCTATTGGCAGTGCCTCGCAGACTTCCTCGGCTTCTCCAGCCAAGTACTCCATCAACTTTGCACCCCAACGGTCCTTGGTGTAAGTCGTCGGCAAAGCCATAAGCATGAGCATGGCCTTGCGTCTCCACCTCTTGTATGTCGATGGCTGTGTGCCGTCAAACCTTTCCAGCTTAGGTCGCTCCTCCTCCTTACCTGCACCGCTCATGGTCCTTTCTGACTCCAAAGCAGAGACCGTGCGCTTCTCGACTGCCCGCGATGCGAGCAGCCGTCACAGCGCTCCGCTACCACCTGTAGATCAAAGCATCCACAGGCGGCCGCTCTTCTCACGCTTTTCCATCAGCGAACACTCTAAGCTCGCGAGTACCTTGGGGGACCTCGACACGTAACGCCGACGGTCACACATTATCTTTAGCTTGTGCATGGAGCTTTCCTGTACACATCCGGAATCTGCTGCAAGTTTTCTCAGAGGGCTTACAGCTCTTGAAAAATAGGGCTTAGACTTCTCGAGAGTTTCGAGAACACGGTTGCGGGGGGTTGCCATCAGCCAGGCATCTGGGGCTCGGTGCTTCGAACTTCTCTTTGCAATATTGGACAAAGCTCTCTGTGATTTGTGCTTATGTCATTGTCGATATCAGCCGCTCTCTCACTGTTGTGCGACTATTGCGGGCGTCAAGTTTCTCCTGTCGCAGATAGCTACCCTATTCTGAAATTTCTTGCGTACTTGTGTATGTTTGGGTGTGCGCGCGCTTCCCAAGCACATGAAAGCTCGATGACGTCGGGCCAACTTGTGCTTGAACCAGGGACCCAGTTTTTGCAGAACAGCCGCAAGCTGAAAGCTCCAACACTACCTCAAGATGGAGGAAAGCTTCGAATCTCCACAAGATTTGGGGCTTCAGGGAACCGTCGCTGACGCCGAAGGCGCCATCACTGCAACGCGGAATTCAAGCCATCGGCTGAGCGCCCCACCGGCAAGGACAGCATCTGGGATCCCCCGCGCCGACAGGCTGCGCGGATGGAACCAGCCGCGATTTGTAGGGTTTAGGGTTAGGGTTTCAGCCTTTTAAGAGCCAACATAAAGAATATAGGCTAACATCAGCGTTCAGCAGCTTGGCATGAGACACACCATCAAAACGAGTTTCGAAACGGCAGATGCATCCTCACCAGTTTAGTCTTGCGCCCCATCTGCATGTAGCTGCCTGTGAGCCGGCCAGGCTGCGATGCACCATCTGCCGTTCGAGCTTCATCGAGGCTTGGGGGTGGGCCGGGCGGGGCGCGACAGGGTGTCCGGGGTCGCGCCTTGAACCTGCTAGGTATTGCCCGCTCCTAACACTCGCAGACATCCCCAGACACAACAGAGCCCCATACTGACTTCATGGGAACACGTTGAACTGAAGAGCTCATGTCTAGAGTGTGGAAGATGCAAGCTGCGAGACTCTGTCAGCCCGAATCCGAGGGCCTGCACGATGAAATAACAAGCCTGTCTTCAACCGAGCGCAAGGGCGCGTGCACTTCCTTTGTCACTGTGTGGCCATTGCTCAGTGTGCTCCGGAGCTTCAGCAGCCTAAGCAGCGTCTGGATGGAGGTGTTTAGAAGAGGTTGGAGCGGGAGGTGGGCGCGGGATTCGAAACTCCTGGAATGGTCATGCAACTGGGTGTGGACCAACTTGCCCCTTCTGGCGACTCTCCTAGCTTCTGTAACCTCCTCAAGTATGATAGTGAGCTGCACTGCTTTCTCTCGGAAACGCCGATGTTCGGAGGCAACGCTCCCGCGAAGTTTCGTGAGAGGCCAAAGGCTTGCAGGGAAACGGGTTTAAGGCTTTGGGGGGTAGGAGCCTCAAAAATCGAATCTCAACACCACGAACATGAACTAGACCTGGGACAGAAACGGAATGTGAACAGAAGAAGGAGCAAGATTGTATTGCGGCCACGTCAGAAACACAGTTCCAGAAGTTATTGGATGATAGCCCTGGCTACAAACACGAGGCTTTCATTGGACTTTGGCCCTGACAGAAGAGCCGAAGCCCAGCAAAGCATCAGCTCCGCAGCACCACCTTGGCAGCCGGAGCGGAATGTTGAAGAAACGCAGACCAGAAAGTCGGCCAATGACCACTGAGTGGAGCTAGGACGGAGAGTTTCCGAGACTTGTTGCCTCACACTGCAGGCGGGTCTGCAACACTGTTGTTTTAGCAGATCTGGACATCCGGGATGGGGACCTGCTTTCTAGAATCGCCCATCTTTGTCGATTCTTGGCAAGCGGACGTCAGCTTTGGACGCACGGACACTGCTTATGTAATGAACTTCCATCTAACGAACATGAACAGCCTGCCCAGAAAGCCTCGGTCACGTGGCAGGCGGTACTTAACTTTCGTCATCGGTCTGCGCCAGCGGCTGGACCTGCTTGTGGGGTATCAGGCCATCCAGATTTGAAACAGGAAACAAAGGAACTGGCCAAGTCGACGTATGGCGGCTCAAACAGGTGCCGGGACCAGTTCCGAAGCAGGGCCAACAACGGCATCCTACCAGCCTGCCAACTTACCAAGTCCCCTGATCCTTTTAGTAGACCAAGCACCCAGCTTTCTTTAAAGCTACTGCTAGCATGGAGGCCGTCGCAACAAGAGGTCGACATTTTGCAGCTGGGCTCCAGGATGTGAGCTTCGACTTTACGACAGCTCGATCTCATGTCATGAAGCCTATAGTATAATAGGATCGTCGGAGCGCGGTGCAGGGTGGCAGCCAAGGGATCAACCATGGGGAGGTTGTCATCACATGGGCCGGCTCCTATTCAGAGGAAGGTGCAGGCAGAACGCTGCTATGCTGCTTCCGGCTGGCGCCCACAGTGCGGCGCGTCCGAGCCTGGAGGGATGAATGCAGCCCATGGGTAGGTCTGTGCCCTCTGGGGGTCTCTAAACTCTGGTGAAGATCCTGAAACTCCCGGCCTGGCAGCATCGGCACTGCCACCGCAGCCAAGCCCGAAGCCGTATTGAAAGAAGAACCGCATAGAGGAACATTCTGAGGATGGTGAAAACGACCGTGAGAACGCTGCTGTCCCGACCGAAATTCTCGTGATTGATAGTGAGCCTTCCGCGCCGTTCCTGCGCTGCTTTCAGGGCTCTCAGGCCTCGAGGCCCGATGGGATTGATCGTCAAGTCGAGCTTGCGCAGCGTGTCGTTGGCCTCCAGGCCGCGGGCCAGCGCCAGGGCCCCGTCCGTGCCCACGCCTGCAAACTGCAGGCCGAGTTCATGTAAGGTCCGGTTCCTCAACAAGGCCTCTGCCAGGGCTGCTGCCCCGGTGTCTCCCGCGCGGCTTCCACCTACGTTCAGCGTTCGAAGCGTCGCATTGTCCACCAGGACCTCTGCCAGCAGCACCACGGATGCCAGGCCCAGGTTGGTGTGCGGCAACTCCAGACTCACCAGTGACGGCTACCCGTGGCGAAGGCAATCAGCCAGGAGCCGCACTCCCGCTTCCGGAAGCGGCACAGACCCAAACCTGAGGCTGCTCAGCGTGACTTTGGCCGTGAGCATCCGCAGCAACTCCAAGGCGGTGGCCGGCTTCAGGTGTGTGTGAGTCAAAATGAACCTTTGCAAGCGGCTGTACAGCGGGAGCATCTCCAGAAGCCGGTGGACTTGGCTTGGGTAGGCGCGTCGAATCGCAATAAACTCGACAAGGAGCTTTTCATCGAAGACCTGCCTTTGCAGATCCAGCAGAGAGTCCAAGTCGGATCGGTGTGTGAACCTGAGACGCTGCACGAGCTGACGGAACTCCTCTGGCTGCAGTGGCAGCTCGTTGCCAGTACCGGTGAAGAAGAAGAACAACGACAGGAGGCGGCATCGAAGCTTCACAAACAGGAGGGCGATGTAGCCGGTTTGGGAGATGTCTTTGGAACCTGGCTTGGACCATTCAGCTTCTGCAGCACACCAGCCACGATTCGCGTAGGCAGTCTTGTTCCGCTTGAGTGCTCTCAGCCGGACATCAGCGGTGCTGCTCTGCTCCTCAGAATAGACATGGGCAGCGCTTCCTCTCAAAAGGCGCCACCACCACATTGTTTTCGGGGTTAAGCACTCGATCCGCCAGACATCTGAGTTCGCATAGAATAAATGCATGGAGCTCAGGGACTTGCGGAACGAGTCCTCTTGGCCTGCAGCAGGTGGAGATGCGTAGGCTGCAGTACATGACTGTGTACATGTTGGCGGAGGCATGTACGTAGTTGGCCTGGTGTTTGTCTTGAGTTTCTCACAGTTTTGCTCGGTATTTTCCGGGTTTTCTGCCTTGGGGTGGGGTGGGCGGGAAGGGTGCAGTGCGGGAGGGGGGGGGAGGGGGGGAGGATAATAACATATGTTCTCTAGTGCTTCTTGTCTGAATGCTGCAGGACGTTGGGAGCTTTCTCTTTTTAGTGTTCAGGGTCTTCTCCGTCTGACAAAACCCAAGGCCGTGCACGCCGTTCTCTGGCGGGTTAAACTTCCGGAGGATGTTAACATGATGATGGCATCGGGGACCATATGCTGAGCAAGAAAGACCTCGTAAAAAAAAAAGCACGCCCACCCCGACTCAAAACCAGGAAGCCAAGGAAACGCCCAGACAAACTACGGCCACACGACCATATTGGCTTCCTTGTGTGACTGTCTTTAAGCTTTTGTCCCTGCGTGGACAACAGCCTGTCACAACGACCTCTACGGAATCAGCGGTTCTGCCTTGATGTTCGCGCTTGTATTGGTAAAGGGAAACAAAGTCTATGAAGAAGTGAACATCATGTCTGTTGCAGCTGATGCCGGTCTTCAGTGCCCTCACAGCGTCTGTGTCCATCTGCTGCACGATCTGCGCCAGCTGAAAGCCACAAGGATCCGGGTGTTCCATGGTCTCCCAGACGTGGGAGATCGTCACAACGGTGAACCGGTCAGTCGCCGTGGGAGCGTAGAGGGCCCCTGCATGCCGTTCGGCTTCCTGCCTTCGTGGCCAGAGCAGGCCAAACTTGTGCAGATCGCGGAGATACCCCGGGCGGACCAGCTTGATGTCCGCGTCGATGATGTAGCGACGGAAGTCCTCGAAGGAGTGGAGGCGGTACTTCGGCAACGCGGCTTGGGCGGGCTCCTGGCGCCGGGAGTTCACAAGCGCAGTCCTAGTGAGTGAGTTTAATCCATCTGCTCTGAGATGCTCGTACACATTATCAGAACCGAGTATGGTGTTGACCGGACGCGTGACCATGTCCCTCCCAGTCGCCCCGATCACCTGCTTGGCCCGGTCACCTGCTCAAATCGGTCGTCCATTCAGTCCCTTCTCCAGTTGATGGGCTGTTGAGCGATTGCTTCCGGGGTGATCGATGTACAATGTTCTCCGACTCGAGTGATCTAGAGATGATGGACACTGGACATCAGAACGAGTGGGCCGATATGTGCCCAGGAATCGAAACCCGAAGAGATCCCAAAGACCGAAACTGCGAGTTGCGGAATTTAGGGTTTTAGGGTTTAGGATTCAGTCTTGAGGGTTTACAGGCTTCAGGGTTTGGGATTTAAGCTTCAGGGTTTAGGGTTCATTCAGGCTCCGAAGCATCACCTGTCGCTCCTGACTGACCGCGGCGGCTTGCACGGCTTGCAGAGGGCTCTCCAGGCTTTCGGACTCCGCTTTCCGGCCCAGGCACCGGGCCTCCGTAGCCGACGCCATGATCAGCGTGCGAGGCGCTTTTCAGGCCCAAGAGGGGATTTGGGGATTTTAGAGCTTTTAAGGATTATAGGGGTCATGAGCAGGTTGGTGGGGGAGGTTTCTGTAGCTTCGGAGCTAATGTCGACAAACCTAACCCGTGTTGCATTGCTGTAGACGTGTCCGGGCTTGCAACGGTCAAAAGGCAACCCTTCTTTGCAATGCTCCTGTGAGCCCTTCTTGAAGAAGCTCTTTCTGAAATACCTTCAGTAGCCCTACTGTCGGCATTGGGCGATGATCAGTGTCTCAAGCTACTTTCATTGCCTATATGTTTTGCAGGATCTGCGGGTGATATGACTCCCCTACATGAAGCCGCTGGAGCTTCTGGACCGAAACCGCTGCAATCTCGGACGAAACTGTACTTTTTGCACTGAATGCTCTTGCGTCCATGCTTTGGAACAAAATACTTTAGGGCTTCAGTGTGTGAAAACGGCCGCTCGGTGACTTTGGGCGAGACTGTGCTAGAAGCAGGGCCGAGCTCAGGGCCGACCACGGTGCCGACGACAACGTCCAAAGCTCGAGCCCCCGAGCCTCTTGGAGATTTTTGAAGATCTCGGGGGGGGTTTAGAGTTTAAAGAAGATCTCCGACCCAAGATCTCCGACCCAAGGTCTCCGACCCAAGGTCCCCCAAGGGTCTGGGGTTCAGAGCACCGAAATGCGACACGAACATGTGAATCACTGAAGTCAGGGTCCTCCTGAGCCGCCCGCCAATTCTCTCTACGGCCGGTGGCTCATGCTGGAGGCCACCGAAGTATCGTGAGAGGCTTCGGGTCTCGGGAGTTCGGCACTGCTTGAATTCGGGCTTCAGGCTTTGAGCTTTCTGAACCCTTTGGGACGAAGGCATCGGGCAAAAAGCCCGGCCGGTGGCTACGCAGCTTGATCCAGCAGAGCATCAGGAGTTCGGCACTGGGGCTTGAAAGCAGGGTTCAGGAATTGAGCTTCTGTAAGTTTAGTCTATAAGGTTTAGGGAGTTTGGCTTCGGCATCGGGCAACAACCAAGGATGGGTTGCGGACCTTGTCGAAGAGATACTTCGAGGCTCGTGACTTTAAGTGAGCTGGTACAAGTAACAACTTATGGCTGCACTTACTGTGGCCAGCTGAAGCTACTGTAGTCTGTCGTACATTCGTCTGTGGAGCTTTCAGTGCCGGGAGTCCCAAGAATGCAATTGAGCGCAGGCTCTAAGCTCCCAACATGCCGGCAAAGAGAGTTTGGAGTCAACGAAACTTTCCGAGAATCTTGTGCAGGTCGCCAAACCTAGACATGTGACACTGTGAGAGCAGAGCCATGCAGTTCCATGTGCTTCCTTTCGCGCCGTCAGCTCTCCGTTTCTCTCCGTGCTCTGGAGCGCTGCGTCATTGCGGAGTCGCTGGACCGCCTGCGCGGAAGGCTGCCCCCTGGAGGTTGCTGCAGGCAAAAGCAGTCGGAAGTTCGCTCTGCGGATTCAACTGGTCATATTTCTTTTCAAAAACATTTTGGCCTTTTCCAAGTCTCAACTCCAAAAATGACGCTCCAACTGACCTCCGAAAACCCAAGCGCGTAATTCGCAGACGCTCCAACCCAAACTCCAGCCAACTTACCAACTCTTTCTGTCCTCTTTCCTCTCTCTCTCACTTTCCGGCTGAACCGCATCTTCACAAAAACTTGACACCCTGACCTTCCCCAAGTCCGGATCTCTGATCCTGCAACCTCGAATCCATGCAAGCAACTGCAAAAACCACTTGCTGGAGTGAGACAGTTGACACTTGAGAGCTGCTTTTCACCAACCCCCTCCAACAAAAACGCAGAAAAGCCCGACTCTCAGCTTCGCCAAGTATCGTGCAAAGGTCTCCTCGTCCATCACAACATGGCGGACCCCACCTCTACACCGATCGGAGTGTTTCGAGTCACGTGGTTCCGAAACCACAAGTCCGAACAAACAGTGCCAGCTGCCAGTTCTTTGACTTTGTCGGGTCCCATGTCAGCCCGGATGCGATCAGCGGCCTTCCGTCGCAGACAACGATCAACCCCGCCTTACATGGAGAGAGCGCAGCTACGTCACATGGAGGCACGCAATGCTTCCAGTTTTTGTTGCCTCTCAGCATCGTTGACTGGCCTCATCTGGAAGCTTTTTTTTTGGCGTGGGCGGGCCTCGCAGACAGCGGCTGCTGCGCTCGCAGAACTATAATTGTATTTTTTAATCTGGGCGAGCCTAAACAGCGCGCTCGGTCCCAGTAAGAACTACAATAAATCCACAATAAACGCAAAACAGGAGCTAATGCCTGTACAAAGTGAAACAACAAGCTGCAAAACCAGTAAGACATGGTCACAAAACAAAGACGCAAACCCAAACCTGTTTGAAAGTCAAACAAAGAAGTTGCGACGTGCAGACATAGCCGGTAAAGTCGTTCGGCTTGAATTAAGTGCAAAAGGGTCCCACGGTTGACTGGCCCTCCCCGTAAAGCCTGTCGCGCAATAGCAAGTATGAGGAGTGGCCCTGCTCGCAAGCAGCACAATGGCTCTCACAGAGGCATTGGTTGGTCCAGGATTCTGGCCAACGAGCCAACGGCAGGCTGGAGCAACAAATGACGAAGACTAGCGAGAAAGGTGAGACGGGCTGCGACTAGCAGACTTAGCCGGCAGACGTCGTTCAGCCAAAAAATCCGGCACCCAGCAGACGCGACCGCTCAGATGCCCCGCTACCCAGTTCGCCTGGGTCGCGCAATGGCACGCATGTCGACAAGTTTCCATTGTTGGGTCGCACGAGAACGGACGCCCTGCCATGGCCCAAGGCAGAGAGCCGAACACCCCAGCCGCGTCCAAAGAGAGTGGGTGTTGCGATGGCAAGCGAAAGCTATGATGGCAGACACATGGCCGATCCCGATAGGGAGGTCAGCGGCGCATGCTATCGCAGGTGCGCACCCACAGAAACTCCCAAGCCCAGCTTCCCCAAAGTAGGCATCGAGAGGCCAGAAAGTTCCCGTGAGCGGTGCAACGCCAAGTTCAATTGCCCAGCTTACCACAGAGGGTCTCGCAAGGGCAAAAGAGGAAGGACAAAAACGGCAGTACACATGATCAGGTAGAGAATGCGGAGACATGTACCACAGTGGAGAAAAAGGGACGGACCCGGGGGGGGAGAGAGAAGAAAAAGGCAGAGGGGAGAAAGAGGCAGAACCGAAAGGGAGGAAACGGAGGAAGAAAGAGGAAGAAACCGCGAGGCCGACGACACTCTTTCCAGACATCAAAGCGTCGCCGTGCTGAGTGAGACACTGGAGGTCCGGCGGTCACGGGTTGACGAGGTACTCGCCGAAATAGTCGTCCAGCTCCGTTTTTGATTGTTCAAGAAGGAGAAGATCTTCAAGTCGCCTGACCGCGTTGGAATGTCCCACGTCAATCGGGTTGAGGGAATAGTACGCGACACCGGTGTTGTGGTTAGCAACCGGGTAGTGGAGGACGTTCATGTCGAAGTGCTCGAGTTCCAACATCCGGGTAAGGAGATCGCGTGCGGACCCCGGTCGGGGTAAGCGTCGTCGAATGCAAACGGGCCGAGGCTGGTGGTCAGTGTGAGGGCCAGTGGTGGAGTCCGCGGGAGTTTGTCGAGCAGGAGACGCGTGGTCATCCAGAAACCGAAACGGGTCATAGTGGTCCTCCACGTTGATGTCAGGAGCTTCTAGTGGTTCCGGGCGTGTGTCGTCCGCCAGGTTGATGACGTGAGAATCTGGCGCAGGTCGAAAAAGTTCCGAAGGTGTGTCCCGTGGCCACGGAGATCGAGATCGTAATCGAGACGTCCGCGAGGTGAAGTGCACCGTGTTGGTGCCGCTGATGGGGTCATCTCGCGGTCCTGTCCTTTTGGGCCCGAAAGGAGGCGGTTTGGCTTTGGCGACTTGGCCCCGATAGTGTAACTGACCACAAATCCGAGTAGGTCGTGCATACGATGTGCGGAGGTCGTCATAGCTCAGCCCGTGTGACTGCATGGTAACACAACTGTCGGAAATGGCTGCGGAGGACAAGAAGATGCACAGATGCGTTCCACAAGCACTCGAAGAGGACTCGTTTTCCAAAAACTTATACCAGAGCACGATGCCGGTCATGCCGTCAGCAAGTGGAGGCCGAACATGCCAACGTGAAGACGCGTCGATGGTAATGGAAGCACTGGCCGAGTTGTAGGTATGAGCGGGTGCGCAAGCAACGAATCTGAGTCTGGAGGAGTTCTCGAGCTTCCCAGGTTCGGAGCTCATGTGGTACCATGAGGGTCAGGACGGCGTCAGAGAAACGCACCACATCGACAAAGGCGGAGCCAAGGGGAAGTTCCCGTGGAGGAAGAAACGGTCCACGCATGCGGAGCCGAGGTTCCCCTTGTAGTAGTTGAACAGGTGGTAGTTGATGCACGTCTCGAGTCATGAAATGGGTAATGTTTCGTCCATGTAGGAAGTGCATCAACTCATAATTCATCATGCGACTCACCTGTAGAAGTTGGATCGTCACGTCCAGGTCGATGATGATCTCGAAGAGGCCGTGGTACGAGTTATCAGCCACGTGCACCACGTCATGGAACATGTTCGCTGCTTCCGCCATGGCCTCGTTCATGAGGTGGTAGATGTGTGGCCGAGGTGAAGACTGAGAAAATGGTACGAGCCAGCCGCGAAGCATCAGGAACGTGGATAACCAGAGGTTGGTAGGAACGTCGGCAAAAGTGCAAGTACCCAAGTTCGTACTCGATGATGATGACGCAACCACCGTGCTGGATGGCGATGGTTGGGCTTGGTCCCGTCGTGACATCCTGGCAGCTGCGACCCACTCTCTGTATTCGGTGGTAGTTGGCAGGTCCAACAGCGTCTCTGGCACAAAGGTCGTCATGACGATCACGCGAAGCCGAGGAAACCGATTGCTGAAACGGCTGCGGAGAAAACAGATCATATGCATGAAAACCGGAAGGAGGCACGGAGACATTTTTGTGTGATCGCATTCACCGGCTCCAGCTGATGTC